TATGTTGAGCAATAACTGGCAATTTTATTTAAACATATTTTTCTTATCTCATTCCTGGAGTTAGTAATACCCCAAGATGGCTCCTATTTCTTTTAGTAAAAAATATTTCAAGATAATAATCCAGGAGCAAGAGGTACTCATAGAAGCTGAATTAGTCAGTGTTCCAAAGCTTTTTCAGAATATGCATATTTTATAACACAAAACATTAATATTGGGGGTTTTACTGTTGCTTTAAGAAAAAGGCATTTTCTGCTTTTAACTTGGAATTGTATATTTCTCCACAAAGCACTAGTCTTGAAATACCATACTCTAGGTATTAGGTGTAGTTTGGCTACTGGGTTACTCGATTTTTGTAGGCCTTTTCAGAACATATGGGAAAAAAATGTATTAAAAAATGATGCTCTCAATTCAGAATTGTTACTTATCCTCTGTATCTTATCTACATTTCCTTTCTCCCATGCTGACAAGAAATTACGTTTAAACCAGTAGACTGAATAAAGATCACTCTCATCAATGTGGACAGGCATCATGCAAGCCAACAATGAACTGTTCTCAAGAATAATTGGGATTATATAACCAGAACATAATATAATAACTAATATTCTTTACCCCACATTTCACAGGAAAAATGGTAGAATAGCTGGCTGTGGTGGTGCATAAATGTAAGCAAGACTACTGTACACATTTGTGTATTTCCTCTTAAGTGGTAGCAGACAAACAGCACTTTTTCTACTTTCACTTAAAACTATACCTAAAGGTGATTACATAGTAGTCTAGAAAGATATATGTCATTCCTTGTTACAGCTGCATAGTACTCTCTTATGTATATGTACCATATTTTATTCAACCAATTTCATTATATGAACATGGACATATAATCATCTTATATGGAATCTCATTTTTTTGGTTACTAAGTCAATGGGCAATGTCATTAAAAAATTTGGAGTTGTCTTAATTACTTTCTTATTACTCTGACAAAAGACCAGACAACCACAAAGGAGGAAAGGTTTATTTTAGCTCACAGTCTGTAGAGGTTTCAGTTCATAGACAGCTGCCTCTAAGGCAGGGGTGGCACGGGAGAGAAGTACAGCAGAGGAGAAACAGTCCATGGCAGGAAGGAAGGCAGGAAGGAAGCAGCAGTAGCAGCAAGCCTTTCTTTCCCTTTTATCCCATCCAGACTACAAACCCAGGGTGGTCTTTCCCATCATCCACATCCAGAACTATACTAAACCAGTCAGTAGACAAATCTAGTTATTATACACTCGTGAGCCAATATCACATACCCTAGATCCAGTCATTCCCAAAAGCCCCACCTGGGAGCATATGAGGCTTGGGGACATTCTAGATATAACACATACCAAGAGTCGTATCTCATGGCAGCATATAATCATTATATTTACATACGATGATTATGCTGTGTGCTAATGACTCTAGGTATTAAAACTTGGGAAAATGTCTGGTGATTAACTCTGACTATTGGCATTATCAAATGGTAGTAAAGTGAATTAAACAGATTTGCTTAGATAATAGTGTACCTGTTATACACTTATCACTGCTAATAAAAACTCACAAGATACTCATCAAAGCACTTTCTAGTACCTTTGAGCTTCTCAACAGTCACAGGGCAAAGTTAAGTATTCTTTTAACACAGAGAATTAGTTACAGCCAAAGGTCACATGGTAAATTACTGGCAGAATCAAACCTTAGTCCTACAAAACTCTACACTGTTATTTTAAGCTACCACAAATTGGGTTATATTTTGGTATACAGAAATCCTCACATATATTAATCTATTCTTTGTTTTAACAAAATACTTGAAAGAGGTTTATTTAGCTCAATTTCACTGGGACAAAGTCCATAATCAGGGGGCCTCATTTATCTTGTCCCTGGTGAGGACCTCATGGCAGATGGCAAAATGGCAGGCATTTATGACAGAAGGGATCACATGGCAAGACAAGAAGCCAGAGATTGACCAGTCTTGATATCTTGTAACAACTCACTCTTGGCAGATCAGCTAACTCACTGCCAGGACAGTATCAAACTTTTCTGAGGATAGAACCCCAATGACCTAAGTACCTTGCTTCAAACTGGAAATATGAAAGGTTCCATTCTTTCTCAACGTTGCCACTATGTTTTGTTTTGTTTTGGGTACTACAGATTGAACTTGGGTCCTTGTGCTTGCAAGGCAGGCGGTGTAACCATTGAGCTAAATCATCAGCCCAACATTGCCACTCTGAAGGCAGCATTTCCTTCTCACCCATGAAACCCTGAGGGTTAAACCACATCCAAACCATAGCATGTATGAAGAAGTAATTTGTGTGCCCCAAAATTCTGTTGATGTCCATCAAACCTAAATACAGTGCACTTGGAAATGTTTAGTTTTTCTATAAAGGCCTAAAAAATAGGGAATCTGATTATAACTGTTTTGTGTGTTTGTGTTTTTAATTACTTAAATGAATGCTGTAATTATGCATTACGTTTTACAATAGGAATTTTCATTAGGATTGGTAGTTAAGAGGAAAGTAAGATCTTCACTTTTATATTCTCCTAAAGAGCCCAATACTGCAGAGCATATGAGGGCTGTGTGATGCCTGGAATATGCTCCCAAATTAGCTTACTTTCTTTATTATTTCAGAAAATGGAGGCTGAAGGAATGCCATGAGATATTAGCTTAAGGCAATTTCCATGACCAGTCTTTCTAGTCTTTTCTTTCTTGGCACTGTTGCTAAAATAGTCATTTAGACTATTAGCTGAACTTCAAAGTTTGGTATTACTTTGTTTTATGGTACATAAAAATTTATGCATTTTTCCCTTTCTTTTGCAGTTATCCAGGTTTAGGCAGTATATGAAATATATAAAAAAGGTGTTTAACTTTTTATCCTTCTATAAAAAACATTTTAAAATTAGAAGATGCATCATAAAGCAAGTACTGTTATGTACCTGTCTATACTTAGCTACTGTAAAACATGAATTCAAAAATTGGAAATCTAGTGTAAATATTTCATACAAAGAGCAGTTAAAATTAGAAAAGTTATTCAAGCTTCAGGGCACATATAAGAAAAAGTTTAAAGACAGTCTTACGCAGGAATTTTTCGCTTATAAATTTTCAATTTTTTTCTTTTGTTGAGTTTATTGGTACATTTTAGGTATGCAGTACAATTACATTAATTATTGGGATCTTGTACCTTTACATGACAGATCTTGGTTGTCATTTTTTTCCCCTTGTCTGTGCCCTCCCTTCACCCCCTCCTCCCCTCCCCATTTACAAACACTTTATTTCCATTTTTTCATTTTGTCATATTTTTTTCTTTTCCCTTATTACCTTTCCCCTACCCTTCCCATCTTCCCTACATCTTTAGCCCTTAGGGATAAATTTTCAATTTTATAAATAAAAGGGCTACCACAGTGACATGCACACCTATATTTATAGCAGTACATTTTGTAATAGCTAAATCTTGGAAACAGCCCAAAAGCACATCAACTGGTGAGTGGATAAAGATGTGGGTTTAAAAAACAAAATGGAGAACTACTCATCCATAAAGAAAGATAAACTTTAATATTGATTGCAGAGGACCATGATATTGATTATGTCCAAAGCAGGCTGTGAAGAGTTAACCCCACAATTGGCTGTTTATAAAAGTGAGTCTGGCAGAAGTCTATGTGCCGAGGTCAGAGTAACTCACACCCAAATTCTGTTTCCACAACTAAAACCTTCAGACCACAAGGACAATGTTCTAATTAAAATCATACAGTTTGTCTATTCTGATCCTAATTTAAGAATGCTTTGTCTTGTCCTTTATGAGCCTTGTTTACATTAATTTCCATAGAAACCACACATCACCTTTACCCCAGTTGATTGCCAGTGCCTGGTACTGGCCAGCGTCTTTGTAGGTTGTACCACCACTGGTCATCCTGGCACTCTGCTCTCTTAGTGTAGTTTTTTTTTGGTCCAGGAATCTAATTTAGTACCTTGTGCTCGCAAAGCAGGCATCAGTACCACTGAGCTAACTCCCTCGCATTTTTTTCTCAGGCCTGCATTGCACACCGGGCAGGTGAGGACTAGGAACCTGACTACAAGGGTCTCCGGCAAAACTTGAGACATTTATGGCTAAATGGATGCACCTTGAGGCCACACGCATAAGTGAAATAAATAAGACTCACATGTGTAAGTTCTGAATCATTTCTCTGGTGTGAAAAACAGAAAGTGTAAATGAGGACCAAAATGTAGAACAGATACTGTGAAGTAGGAAGAAAATGTTTAAAGGAAAAGGGGAACTAGGGAAGGGGCAGGCAAAAGGAAAGAAAGAAAAATATTCAAAAAGAATATATTAAAAAATACATTCAATATATTCAAAAAGAAAATTTTCCAAAAGAAGGAAAAAATGGAAACAAAGCTTATGTATATGGGGAGTGAGGGGTTGAAGGGAAGACAGGGGAATGGGAAAAAATAAGAATCAAGATATATCATGTACAGGTACAAATTCTCAATGATGAATGTAATCATAAGGTATACCTAAATACCAAGAAACTCAATACAAATTTTAAGAAACCTGAAAATGTCATATATTTTTATGCACTAATTATACTTATACCAAGTTACAGCAATATTTAAGTGATTTTGCTTCCTCACATTTGCCACATTTGTATCACAGTAGAATTGAATTCAAAATTACCGAAAACATTTCTGACACACAAAAAAATCTTATTGTTGAATAATTAATAACATGAGAAAAATATCTAGGTATATATTTTAGTTCTTTTTGTTCTGTGAATTTCATTTTTGTTCTTAAAATGAATATGTTCCTGCTCCTGGGTTTTCCCTTTGTAATGTAACAAAATAAATATTGAAACTAAACACAGCAAAAGGTAATACAGACAATTTTCTGATGAGTATTTTGAAGGCTACTTTTCAAAAAATGGCTTCAGACTGGATTAGAAGTAGGAGTGCTTAGCTAAGATACTTATTTACTCTGAAGGAAATCTAAACAAGGCCTTAGGGGTTTTTTTTTTTGTAGTATTACCATTTATTGGTGACAAAAACTAAGTTTTACTTACATTCCATGGGGAGAAAATGTTCTGGTGTAAACAACGTGTGGAAGCTGTAATTAACTCACAAGGATACCGGGCTTGTCCTCTAGACCAGAGCTACTCTGCCTGCACACATCTCTGTATGCATCGCACATCAAAAGCAACAGAGACAGTCATTCTCCTCAGCCCTTCATGGAAATGCCATCAACAAGGTCAAGCACTGAAGGAAAACCAACCAGCAGGCCTGGACACAGTACACAGAGATCAGGTTCTGTAGTGTAGTGCAGTATCATGAGCGCTAAGTCAAGAGTCATATGTATAGACACAATTCTTTAATCTTTAAAACAAGGATTAAAGTTCATTTAAGACCTTTTAGAACAAAAATTTAAGAACAAAAATAAAAATAAAATAGAGAACGTCCAAATTATCATCTAAAGTTTAAAATTCCTAAATCGTCCAGTTTATACAACTGTGGGAGTCTTTGCCAAAGTTTCTGAGTTCAGGGCTGTTTTGGCTCGACCAGAGGGCACACAGTCGGCCTCAAGGAAATCTAAAGAAGTCTACAGGAAGAGAAGCAAAGATACATTGTAAAATAGTGAATAAATGGAATATTGCTGAATGTGTAATAAAATTGAGTTAATAAAAAATAAAGGGCTGTAGCTTTCAAATATTCAGGATCATGATTTTGATGCAAGTTCAGAAAATACGTCTTTCTGAAACTAAACTGGCTAGAACACATATTGTGAGTGAAGGCACATTACAGATAGACAAAGGAATTGGAAAATCAATACATTGCGATAGGACCCATGATGGGACAGAGATGGGAAAAGATTTGGGTAAATGCTCATGAAGTTTTTGGGCCTTATAGCAATCTAAAAGGCATAAAGAGAAAAACCTCAGTGCCTCCACAGAGTGCGCAGGTTTGAAGCCCGCTTTTTAAAATCCAATAACTACAGTATTTCATAAATCAGACTCATGAGAACACATTATCTCTTCAGTCTCCTTATAGATTCTGTAGAGAGCAAATCTCATAGATTCTCTTCTGTTTACTGTCTGCAGTGGTCTTAACTGATGGCAAAACACATGACATTTTTTTTTGAGACCGAGACTGCATAGTTCAGGCTGGTCTACAACAGCATAGCAATCCTCTTGCCTCAGCCAGATGTGTGCGGGATTACAGGCGTGTAACACCATGCCTGGCTAAAACATACATGACTATTTAAGAATATCAAGTGGCAAGGAAGAAAAATTAAGCGCGAAGTGAGGGATTCCATATGCAAATTGTTGGTATTGTGAGAACAAGAAATCCTCATAACAGTGAGACTTACCAGGAATGGTACTATTTAGTATAATTTTTCTTACTTGCCACCTGCATATCAAATGTATTATAAATGTTGACAGAATAATTTCATATACCAAGAACTGTGATTTCCTGTGGCGTTCTTTAAAGTGTTCTAGAACAGGCAGCTCTGCAAGGAACTGCCAAGTAACTGTTCAGAGGTGAATGGAATTGATGTCCAATCTCTTAAAAGGTAATAGATAATCTCTACATTCAGTCACAACCCTATTTACCATTTCCAATGTTATGAATAGTAATGGCCTCTACTTTCTTTAACCCTTTTCTGGTGGTCCAAAAGGCTGTATCTTTTTCTCTGGTGAGATGCCCTTCAGATAGTCCTCACATGTATTTTTAGCCACGTGCAACTGATACTTGTTTTTCATTGAGTATAAACTTACTCCGGCGTCCAGATTACACTTCCCTTGTCAAATCTCTTAGGAACAGGAAAATGAGGCACGCTTGAGTTCTGCCCTAAACACAGGATTCTTGGTTCTGTGCGAAATGTCGATGAAAAAGGCAGGAGCATGTCGAAGGCTTATTGAATCGCACCCCAAGACACGAATAAATTGCTTGATATTTTGCAAGGAGAAGCCATGTGAGTTGGTGAGTCAAGGACATGCACAGTATTTCAGATGTTGTTAGTCACTACACGCTGGCCACGTTAAGTCACAATATTCTCGCAATATTGTACAGGGCAGTTGTCATCCTGTCATTTTTTTGGTGGTGACGGGGATTTCAATCCCTGCAAGAAATCATTTAAAGAATGTGGACCAGTAGAGGCAGAGCCCTTGAAATACTTAACTCTAGTCACTTCGTAGCCTGACTCTGTGGACACAACAGCTCAGAAAGCTTCAAGGGTTATTAAATTCTAGAATATGGGAACAACGGGCCCGAATCAACCTTCATCCCCTTTAGAAACTCGCGCACAATTCTGCGAACCAAAGGCCCACCTTCTGTAAAAGGCGCGAACGCAGCTACGCTCGCGGTCCGAGCCCACGCAGGTGGAGAGATGACTCCGCATTTAAAACTGTCCCAAGACCGAGCGCGCCGGGGGCCGGAAGTCGCGACACGTGACCTGCCCTCAGCGCGGCCATTTCCAGCGAGGCAGCCACCACCGCCCCTTCCACTTTTCCTAGCTTCTCTAGCGTAAGTCTCGGCAGAAACCTCTAATAGGAGGCGGTTGTAGCCTGAACTCGACTAACAATACAATTCGAGCCTTTTCCAGCAATGCTTTGCAAAAATCGCTCGCTCGTCGCGGTCAGAGACTTCCGCCTGGATGCCTACCACGTGATCACGCGAGACTTGGTGCGGCTGCGGTCGGCCTCCACTACTGTCTTCC